AAAAGGTATACATTGGGTACCATATGACCCAATTTTATCACTGCTGAATATTATCCAAATGACTCCGAGTAAATATAACACAGAGATAATTACATATCACATCACTATTTACAATAACTAAGTTCTGAAGATAACCTGGGCATCTATTCAACAGAGAAATGGGTTAAAATGTAAAATACATATATACACATACACACACACACACATAACAGAATTTTTTTCCATTGCAAAGAACAAAGTTATATCTTTTACAGAAAATGAGTACAATTGGTGATAATTATACTAAGCAAATTAGTTCAGTTTCAAAAAGACAAATACTACATACTTTTATTTATAGTTCCTAGATTTTATATAGATACATAAAATCATATATATGCTCATGACACAAAAGGAGAAACAAAACTGTCTAAAGCAGGGATTCTTAACATGTGGGTCATGACCCCTTTGGGAATCAAAAGATCCTCAGATATTTACATTACAGTTCATGACAGCAACAAAGTAACAGCTACGAAGTAACAATGAAAATAGTTTTATAATTAAGGGTCACCACAACACGACACATTGTTAAAGGAATATAACATTAGGAAGGTTGAGAATCACTGCTCTGCAGGTACAGTATTACACAGAGATGCAGAATGGGGAGAAAGGGAGTTGAGGAGGGATATGCTCAAAGTACATTTTATAGTTACCTGAGAAAGGTCCTTATACAATCTGGTGTCCTGTACAATGAATAGTCACCAATGGAAAATGTTAATTGGGGATGCAAAATTGTGCTCATCATCCCCCTCCTTTTTCTCAGCTGCCATTTCTCTGAAAAACCAGACGGATCCTAGGGAGTGACAGCTAAGTACTGCAGACTAAACAAGGTAGTCGTGCCAGTCAAAGCTGCAGTGCCAGATGTGGCGTATTTCCTAAAAGACAGACTAGTAGGACCTCTGGCGCCTAATACGCAGTTATTGAATTTGTAGGTGTATTCTTTCTCTTTTGGAAAGGAGAATATGAAACTCATAATTTGCAAAAGATGAACATTTTTTTTCTGGCATTTTCCAGAGACCCTCTGATGGTTTGAATAAGAATGGCCCCAGAGGCTAACAGATTTAAATGCTTGATCATAAGGGAGTGGAACTTCTTGAGAAGTATTAGGAGGTGGGGCCTTGTTGGAGTGGGTGTGGCCTTGTTGGAGAAACTGTCACTGGGGGTGGGCTTTGAGGTTTCAAAAACCTGGCAGTACCAGTGTCTCTCTCTTCCTGCTGCCATTGGATCCCGATGCAGTACTCTCAGCTACTTCTCCAACATCATATCTGCATGCAGGCTGCTAGGATCACCACAATGATGACAATGAACTAACCCTCTGAACTGTAAGCCATATCAGTTAAACACTCTCTTTTCTAAATGTTGCCATGATCATGCTTTCTCTTCACAGAAATAGGACAGTGTCTAAGCAATTCCTTTCCTAAGAATCATATTATAGTCAAAAGGACTATAGTTTTGACTATATTATAGTCAAAAGGAGTGGCAGTACAATTTATTTATTTATTTATTCTTGGTTTTTCGAGACAGAATTTCTCTGTCTCGGCTGTCCCAGACTTGCTCTGTATACCAGGCTGGTCCTACACTCACAGTGATCCGCCTTCCCTTGCCTCCCTGAGTGCTGGGATTAGAAGCATATGCTACCATGCCCAGTAATTGTGTTTGTTATCTCCACTGATGATAAATCATTCAGAAAACATGAACAAAATGTGATATACTGAAGGCCTTGGTAAAATACATTTGCTATAGGACAGAAATATTTCCTGTGAAGACACAGGTGCCACCCACGTAAGTCAAGACCTGAGTTATGCCGTCTGGGACATACCAGACCAAATTTTCCAGGGCAAAAATATCACTGTATCATATACTTTAATCTCTAAGGAGAAAGTACCAGACCTGGTTTAGCGATTCAGGTTCCAGAAGCAACAATATAGCCACTCAAAATCTGTCTTCTGTAAATAGCCTGGATATATCATTATCTACTTTTCCCATCTGGCTGTGATTTTTATATTTGTGTGCATTATATTCAGTGCGATGATCTTTTCTTGATGCTGCATGTCACAAATATGTTCTCGTAGTCTTTCGACTGTCTTTTCTACTAGCTTCTGGCCTTTCTATATCTACATGTCTAGTTTTAATTTTTAACGAGGTAAGGCTTTTTTTTTTTTCCTTCAGTTTGTATTTTGTTCAGTGTCTTAGTAACTTTCCTATTGCCATGGCAGACACGAAACAAAGGAAACCTATAGAAGGAAGGATTTCTTTGGGGCTTACAGTTCTACCGGGACAATATTCCATCACCGCCATGGGGAGCATGACACCAGGTGCCAGAGCAGCAGGTGATTGCCCACATCTCCATCCACAAACAGAAAGCAGAAAGAGTTAACGCAAAAGGGCAGAAGTCTCTTGAGCCTCAAAGCCCAGCTCAAGTGACATACTCCCTCTGTAAAGGCCGTGCCTTCTAATCCTTCTAATCCCAGACAGCCACTACGTCTTCAAATGCGGGTACTTATGGAGATCATCTCCTTCAAACCACCACCTTTAGTTCAGTAGAAATCCTGCCTAGAGTTCATAAAGAAACAATTCCATATTTTCTTTTTAAAATATGAAAGTGCTTTTTGACATTAGAATGGACTTGACCCTTGTATGACATGTTGAGTAAAAACCCAATTATATTTCATGTCTTCACTTAGCTACCTGAATTCCATAGTGCTATTTGTCAAGTAGTTCCTTCTTTCTCCTGCGATTCACAATGCTCTTTTTATCACATGGTTGAACATCTACACATACATGTTTCGTTTCCCATACTCAATTCTGTTTCACAGATCTACTTATCTTTAGTCGTGCCAGTTTACACTGTTGAAACTGCTTTGCATTTTAAACTAACCTTTACGCCAGGCAAGGGTAAGTTTTGCACTACTTTTGTTTGCTTAAAATTTTTCTTGCATATTCAGGATTCTCATTATCCCATAAGAATTCAAAATAGACCAGTTAGATTCCATCAGATACACACTATTGGGATTTTTGTTGACCCTGCGTTGATATTTTTTAAAGAATATGGAATGTTTCATGAATTTGCATGCCATCCTTGTGCAGCAGCCATGCTAATCTGTGCATCTGTCCAATGTCAGGATATGGTGCTGAAGGGAGCACTTTGGATTGAATTTCTGTGTTAACTTAGGACAGGATGACATCCTAATGATGTTGAATTCTCACATACACAGATATGATAAATGTCTCTATTATCCTTTGTTATGTTGTGGTGTTATTTTTTATTGAAATGAATTTTTATGGTTTAAAATTCTATGGACAATTTCCTACATGCATACTGAGCATTGATTTTCTTCACCTCTCATCTTCTGCTGTCTCCCACTAAAATCCTTCTTCCTAAGTCCTTTGTACTTTGATGTTTCTTTGTTTGTATGAACCATTGAGTTTAATGATGGTTGCTTGCATGATCACGAGTGGGGCTGTTTTGTTTTGTGAGGATGAATCTCACACTGTAATCCAGGACTCACAATGCAGACCATGCCCGCCTGGAACTTGAAGCTCGTTACTTGAATTGATTCTCTTCCTCAGCTTCCCATATACTGAGATTATAGGCATGAACCAACGAATCTGGCTCTCAACTATCTCTCCTTAATAAATAAAGCCTTATGTTTCTGTTGAAATCTCTTCTATATTTTCTTGCTATTTGCCATCTTTTTAAGGTGATGTTTTCTTATTTGTGTTTGTCATGAAAATCTAATTATCAGTATCAAGTTTTTAAATTTAGAGCTTTGCTAAATTTGTTAATTGTGATAAGTTAGTTGAAGATTAAGGTATCTTGAATTTTCTAAGTGATTCAGAATGGTCCTTATAACTGTTATGCATTATAATTAATATTTTAATTAGAAAATGCAACTAGAAAAAAAACCACATTCCACTCACTTTTATTTCCCCCTTTAATCCAGTTTCTAAACATTTGGATAAGTTTCTTATGCATTTTCCTAGGACTTCTTTGTGATGACACAAGCAAATATAATTTTCCTTTTACTTTTTTCTATTTACAGAGATGTCAGGCTATACAAGGATTCATTATTTTGCTATATTCCCTTTGTTGTCGTGTTTTGAAAGTCTCGGTGCTAGAGCCATCTTTCCTGGATAAATGTACCTACCACCCTGATCTAAGAAGCTTCTCTTACAACAAATGGAGACCATTACAGAAAACCCAACTGGACCCCAATGTCAACAGATCATGGGGATCCCAGTCCCAACAGATATATTGCTATGGCTCAGAGAACATGAAGGAAGAGAAAGGGGGGGGGGGGGAGGATTGTAAGAGCCAGAATTCACAACTGTGAAACAGTCTTTCCTAGAAATGGCAGTACACACAAGACTGGAACAATGGCAGTATCAATAGACATGTAACCTTGGAAAGTGGAAAATTTTCACAGGGCACCACTCCTAACCGAAGAACCACAGGCAAGTATTGACTGCAGAGAAATGGAGAATTGGTCTCTCCCTGGGATGAACCCTCTTATTAGCTGTCCAGTGCAGAGTGGTCCACCTTGAAACACAACAACAAACAGCAAAAACGGCTTAGCCGGTTAAGGATATAAATTTTTTGGTGCACATATATATATACATGGATATGAATGTAAAATTAATGGAGAAAAAGAATCAACTTGAGAATGGGAGGGTATGGGAGGGCTTCTTGAAAAGGACCGGCGGGAGGAAAGGGAAAAGGGAGAGTGATGTAATTCTACTTCAGTTATTTTTTATTTATTTATTTATTTTTATTTTATTTATTTTAGAAAAGTCTTTTTAAGAAGCAACCATGAAGAGGAGGGTGGAAGGGGGAAAACGAACCATAGAGTGTCGGTGCTGCCTAGAGAGGCCGGAAGTGCCCTGTGTCCCGCCCCCCGGGGGTCGGACTTTCGGACACTTTTGTGACTGCGGGGTGCTGCGCGGTGCTGCGTTCGCGGGTGGGTTCGGGTCTCCTCTTGCTACTGTCCTCCAGCCTGGCCGGCTGCTTGTGGGGGGGTGGGGGTGGGACCAAGCACCTTCCCCCGCGGCCTAGCGGCGCCGGGAAAATAAACTCGGTGGCCACTTGGGCCAAGCGCCGGACAGGGCCTCTGGCGCCTCGTCTCGGCCCGGTTCCGGGTGTCTGGTCAGTCTCTGGGCGTTTGGCGATGGGATTCTTGGGTCATGTACTTAAGCTTTGAAAATGGGAGACGTCACAGTTTTGCTTTTCCTGAAGACAAGGTCAGTTCCAAGGTCTTTATTCTGGGGTACTGGAAGAAAGCCAGAACTTTGGAGTCGGGTTTCCTGGCCTCTGCTACTTTGTGACTTTCTTCCAGTCCCTTAACCTTTCTGTGTTTTGCTATTTTAGGGGATAATGGTATCGCCTAACTTACAGGATTGTTATGCGGAGTAAATGGCTTCGTTTGTTCAAGGTGCTTAAAATAGTACCAGGCACGGTTTAATCTGCACAGTGTAAAGATTGCTGTTATTATTACTGTTACTATTTCTAACTAGGACAGCACTTATTCTTCAGTGACGAACCTTGGTACTGGCTGTTTTCATTTGAATTTTAGTGCTATTTACCAGTTCTCTTTGTAATGGACGATTTGTGTATTTTGGGAGGGAAAAATAAAACATTCTGAAGAAGAGCCTGTCTGAAAGCAAAGATTAAAAGTGGTTCGTGTAGTGTCTTGTGATGTTCAGACTCACGGAGTTTTAAAATCTTGGAGATGCCTTTTCTTCTAGAGGCAGGAGGAGCTTGAGAAACAGGAGGAGCAGCGAGAGGTATCTTAACAGTGAAGAAGGATAAGAGCCCTGGTGTAAACAGACATTGCTGTTTTGCTCGGTGCTGCGAACCTGCCAGCTTTCTGACCCTCACCGAGAATCCTCACCGGCTTGAGGATCACATGGATGGATGATAGATTTGATTGATAGATAGGTAAATCGGTAGTAAATTAAATAGAGATGGATCTGAAACTGAGTTCACACTAATACCTTTTGTTCTTTTTGCAGGTTTTTAAAGCTAATACTGACCATATAGAGTTTATCATTGTCATTGACTTGATGCTTCTTGCGATCCTTGAAAGTTCTTTCATCTGCCTCCTTTTCCTTAAAGAGTTTGGGCCTTTAACATTCTCAGGATCTACAGGGATCCCTGTAGCATTCTTTGCTCTATTTGTAACTTAACAAAAAAAAAACAAACAAAACAAAAACAAAAACTTTGTCTTTGGTTTACTTATTTGGCAAACACTTGTGTTGGTAAAGTCTTTTGATCCTGTACTTTTGTACTCTGCCCAGTTGGTGAGACTCCAGATAGGAGAAGTGATGAAACATGAGTGGTTGAATTGATTATTAAGAATGTATCAATGTTCATTTTTCTCTCTACAGCCTCTCACAACAATCCCACTCGCTTTCGGCCTCGGATATACTTTTACTTCCCTTGACTCCCAAAAAGTGCTTTGGACTGTATTAAGGAAAGAAAGAAGGTGTAATTTTAATATTTAAAATTACATTAGTAAAGGTTTAAATGTAGCTAGAGAAAAACTTAAACTTGACTGCAATAGTAAGCCAATCATTCAGCCATAATCTTTTAGTCATTTTCATTCATCTGCCTTTCCCCTTTCCTCGTCTCTCCATCTGTCCTTCTCTATCTCTTTCCTTTTTATCCCTCCTCTACTTCCCTTCTTCCTTTCATTCTTTTTCAGCAAACTAGAGGCCAAGATATCATATCTATTCATCTGCAGGCACGACAGTGCTAAAATAGGAACTTTAATTTAATCACACTATAACAATAAACAGAATTGACAGCAGTTCCCTAGTATTGCATTCATGTTTCCTGATTGACCCACAAATGTCTTTTTACAATTTGGTGATATTGTTTAAACCACATAGTTTATATTGAATTGCTGTCTCTTTTAATCTATGATAATCCACTTTCCCTTTGCTTCCTCTTTTGATATACCATTTATTTGTGGGAGAACTTGGGGTTTCAATATTCTCACATAAATTGCTTAGTTCTACTGTTACTTTTAAAAAAACTTATCTTTAGCTTCTCAGGTCTTGCACTTGGCTACACTTTGGAGCACACAGTAAGTTTTCAGACTGCGGTCTGTGGCCACCCCCTAAGGCTGGCTCCGTTGACCTTGGCTGCGCAACTGTCAGGAGGCTTTAAAAGCTTCCCAGTGATTCTCTTGTGTAGCATAACTTTAATACTTTTAATTTGCTCTCCTGTTTTTACCTGTACATGAGTTCTTGGGTCTAGAGGCTTGATTAAATTTAGGTTTACTTATTTAATAAAAATATTGTACCCTATATCTCTTGTGACAGCTAATTAGGAAACATTTTCTGATTCTTTATAACAGTTGATGTAATGTAAACCCAGCTATGATGGTTTACACCAGTAATCTCAGCTCTTGAAAGGCTGAAGTGAGAGGATTACCCTGAGTTAAATGACACCTTGGACTACATGATGAATTTAAGGGCACCCTGGACTAGAGTGAGACCCAGTCTGGTTTAAAAAAAAAAGAGAGAGAGAGAGAGAAAACCACAATTGGTGGATCATTTCCATCTATCACCTGTTATCCCTTGAACTGTAGAAAATTGGAGTGAGAAATAGAAATTCAAGGGGGCACAGACTTGGAAATATATTTCCCTTAGTAACTCTAGGCTTACATACTCTGATCTCATTCACTGAGCGAAGAGAAATGCACTGCCGTCTCATTGTACTCACAGAAAGTTGCAGTCAGTTCTTGCTTAAAATCTAGTTCTTTCTGATTCAAAGGAATCAGATCTTCCAACCCTTTTAGGAAGCTCAGGTCTCACAGCCTAAGCCGTGAAAAAACAAAGCAAAACAAACAAACAAACAAACAAACAAACAAAACTGAGGCACTGACTGGTTAATGTGTGACATTTCCAGGGTGATGCATCTGAGAGGAGTGGGAGAAGACATTCATAAATGTCTTGTTCAAGTGCACATGTTCTAACAACGATGGGATACTCAGCCTTTTCTGGCATGGGCTTTCACAACTTCAGCTCCCTTGTAAGGCACGTTGGGCAGCCACTGAACAGCCATTTAACTCTTACAGCTTTGAGATTACACAGTGAAGGAAAAGGAAGGGTGCTTCCCTTTGCTCACTCTGCATGGGTCAGAGAGCTCTAGCACATCTGCCCATCCATCTGGTGTCTGTTGTCTAACCGTGGGAAGTAAGCGTGCCTGCCTGTGTGCCATGGAGGCAGCTTTTGTCCTCACCTTTCTTAGCCTTTCTCTGGTGTCTGTTTTCTGTAAGCTTATAACACTGAGCCGTATCAGCTGTTTTTCCAGTTTCAAAGTTCAACATTTGTGCCAGTGTGTATGTGTTGTGTGTATGTTCCAGTGTTTGTGCACTTAGGTCTGCTAGCACATGCACACGTGTGCACATGGAGAGGTTAGTACTGAATGTCTTCCTCTGTTGCTCTCCATCTTTATTTATGTTTCTGAGGCAGGGTCTCTCCCTGAAAACAGAGCTCACCAGTTGGGCAAGAGTTGGCCATCAAACTCCAGGGATCCTCTAGTCTCTACATTCCCAGTGCTGGAATTCCAGGTGCTTGCCAGCATCTGGCGTTCTACATGGGTGCTGGGGATCTGAACGCAGGTCCTCAAGCCTGTGCAGCAGGTACTTTACTGACTCAGCCATATTCCCAGACCTTGTGCTTCCACTCTTCCAGCTGTAGTTTATAGTTTCCAAAGCGACAGTAACTCTGGAGTTTTTTGATGCTGCTATTGTCATCTAGTGAGTAGAGACTGGAGTGCTGCTAAACATTTTAAGAATTAAAGCCATAGAAGTAATCTCACTTAAAATGCCTGGGTTTGAGAAAAATGGCTTTAGAAAAATAACGATTTACCAAATACATTTGTGTTCATTTAGTCTTTCTCTTACACAGTAACATTTATTCTGTTTCTAATATATATTAGTACCTGGGAAGTAGAAAAATAAGATGAAGACAGTTGTTTTTAAGAAATTCACAATCCAGTGGTATAATGATTTATTTAGAGACAAAGTTTTACAATATAACCTAAATGAGTAGACTTGCCTTGAACATGCAGCTGTCCTCCTGTCTCTGAGGAGTGTTGGGATACAAGTTTACCCCATCATGCTGGCTGACAAGTTTTATTTAATAATTCCAAAGTTCATTTCCAGCAGGGGTCACGTACAGAAAGTGATGCTAGCTTGGATGAAAACACTCATGCCCTGGTTAGGAGTTTTAGGGTGCTGTCTCGTGGGCACTTGTGAGGATGGGGTAGACGGAGTGTGTATGCACGCACCTACTAGGTTGGAGACAGTAGTGCTGATAACTAGGAGAATAGAGACAGCAGATCTGAGAGACATTCCGTGGTAGAACAGATTGGATCCGTGTTGGAACTCAATGAGAAGAGGCAGGTACATGATTCTAAGGACGCCTGTGGGCAGAGCTGCTGCATGGAAAGAATGCTGCAGTGGGGAAACAGGAAGAAGCAAGAAAATTAGCTTTGTTCGAAGCTAATTGACTTAGATTTGTTTGTAAAATTTCCAGGTAGAACCATCTGGGAGGCAACTCAAAATAGGGATCAAGAGTTCTTATCTAAGAAATAGAAGCTAAAATCTTGCAAGGGATTCAAGAATGAAGTGTGTGCACGTTGAGCGGGTATCAACAGAATGCCAGAGCCTACTCTTAAAAGGAGGAAGGGCAGTAAACTGTTTTGATGTTACTGTATCGCTTTATTAGTTGACATTCATATATTCAGCACATGCTAACCGCTCTAGAAACAGTGCTAACAACATTCCTCTCTGCTGTCACTTAGCCATTTGCATATGAGGTCCAGAGATAAGTGGTTTACTAAGATTACCCATTTGGCTTGAGCGAAACCCGAATCGAGGAACCTTAACTTTGAACTCTACAGTGACTCCAGGAGAGTCTGGAAGAGAAAATGAGGTGACAACAGGAAAGAAAGGTTCTATAACCCAGGGAAAAGAGATTTTCTTGAAGCAGACAGCAACTTCCGCCTGGTTGCCTCAGAACCCGTGGCACATAGGAACTGAAAGGAGCTTTTCTGCCTACTAAGGCCTGTGGTCTGGATCTGTGTTGAAACCTTGGCAGAAAGACTAGAGCTGTGAGTCAGGAGGGCTTTCTTTCCAGAATTTTGGTCTTAAAGGGGTACAGAGTAGCAGACTGAGAAGGCATCATTGTATCCTTTAGGGCAAGGACTTGGAGACGTGTGTTGCCGATTAGTATTTCTGAAGAAAACAAAAGATCCTACAAACCCAGAGACCTTGCTTGACAGACTCCTTTGAACTGGTTAGTCTTCAACTTTTGGCCGTTTGTTTGGCTGTAGCTCACATCAGAGAAAATTTAAGTCTCATTAAAATAAGCATCTAGGGATTAAAAAATCGGTTGTATTTCTTCTGATAGAGTTCCTACGTTTTTCTTTTTCCTTTCCCTAAATGTATGTAGAGAAGAACTAATACTCATTTTCTATTGATGCCTAACAAGTTACCAGACACGGACACACAAATAAAACCTGTTATTCTTATTTGTAAGTCAGAAGGCCAGGCAGGCTCAGCTGAGTTCTCTGTTAGAGACTAACAAAAGCCAGGGCCAAAGCTGGGCTTAGACCTATAGGTTCTGCCTGAAAGCCACTTAAAAGCTCATTGCTCTTCCTAGTAGAAGTAAGCTCCTTGTGATCAGTCTGGTCATTCTGAAGTGTATCATTTTCAAAGTTGTGATGATTATTAAGACAGCAAGTCTTTGGGATTATCTAATAATTGGGCCAGCCATAGATGGGCGTTCTAATGGGATTACTTTGAAGTTACTAAGAAGGAAGGGTTCTAGAGTTCAGACAGTGTCCTAGGTCTTCACTGAAACTTGGCTGCCTCGGTCTCAATTTCTCTCTCCAGAGGTATGAGGTATTCAGGCTCATTTCCAGAATATCCTTTAGAGAACTTATGGTGGGGTTTGGATTTCCTAATTACTTCAGCAAAATACCTAACAAAAAGTAAATGAAAGATGGTTTATTTTCAGATATTGTCTCCCATAGTAGGGAAGTCAGAAGCAGAGGGTTGAGGTAGGTGGTCATTGTGTTTGTAATCAGGAAGCAGAGAGAGAGATGAATGCTGGTGCTCTACTTTGCTTTTTGTTAGATCGGGGACCTTAGCCCGTGGAATGGTGCTACCTGTTTTCACAGTGAGTGTTCTTACCTCAGTTAGAGCTCCCTAAAAATGCCCCCAGAGTCTTCTGAACAAATCCCTGTCAGGTTAACAAAATTAACTTGGGATAATTGAATCCATCACTTCAAAATCATAACCCTGGCTCCTAGACTCATATTCGTCTCATAATATAACATGTGTTTACTCTGTCTCCAAATCTCTTTAACAGTCCCAACACTGTTCAGAATGTATATGCAGAGTCTTTTGTGCAACTCAGCCAATTTCTTAACTTTGAACTCCATAAAATAATACAAGTAATATACTTCTAATGTACACTGGCACAAGTAAACATTTCTTTTCCAAACAAGAGGGATGGAAGCATAGCAAGGAAAGATGAGACAAAAACAAGACTGAAGCCCCGGAGGAACAACACCAAATCCTGCACTTCTGTATCTAGCATCTGGGGCTCATGGTGGAATCTCCTGGGCTTAACTTTAGGCAGCTCTACCTCTCCAGCTCATTGTCTGTCGCACATGTGACCACTTTCTTGTGCCAGCTCTACTCTGTGCCTCAGCTTCCCTCAGCAGATGTTCCATGATTCTGGCATATCCTACACTTTGGAGTCTCCATTGCAATTTAGGCTTTATGTTCCCGGCTTCATGTGGTGGCCTTCTCATAGGGAATCTGACCCTACCACACATTGCCTAGCCTCAGCATCTTTCTGTGTTCCCTTTACTTTTATGTTTTTCATGCTTGCAAAACCAGTATTCTATGGATGATGCTTTCAAGTACATCTTGCTTGATATATAGCTTGATTCCTTTATATTACTGTTTTAGTGGTCACTGTGTGCCTTTGACGCTGACCCTGGGGAAATACTTTCATAGCAGCGATTTTGAATCACTGAATTCTTGTGGTGCTTTCCTTTTAAATGAAATGTCACAAGATTTTCAATGAATGGCTTGGTCTTGCCCTCATAGAGCCTTTCTATTTTCCAGATGTACCAACGCAAGATTTATCTTTCATGATTCTAGTTCAGCAATTACAGAAGCTTTGTCTGCATACATCTCATTGTTACATTATATTAGTACAAACTGCTTTTCTAAACAAACCACATTTCTGTACTCTCTCCCTATTGATTTGAATAAGAGCAGTGAGCACTAGTCATGCCACAACCTAAATGCTATCCTGTTTGGAATTTCTGCCAAATAAATTACTTCGTGTTTTGTTTGTTTTGTTTTTTATTCACTCTCAAGTTGTCATGGTATGAACAGAATGCAGCCAGATTCTTTGCCAGGATGAAAATATAAATAGATTCTATTCCAGTTCCTGAAAGGGTCCATATTCTCTGAAACTGCATCAGCTAGGCCTCTTATTTCTGGCATTCTGGGATTCCAAACTCCCGCCAGAATGGCCTGTTAAGCTTTTCTTGTATCCATAGGGCTTTAGCCTCCACCTCCAAATTGTATTCTCTCCACAATCAGCCCATAAGAAACACACAGTCAGCTTTATCAGGGCAGTGGCCTCTTCTCTCTGGACTAGTGTTAGTCACTTGCTGCTGTGACAAAATGCCAACAAAAGCAACAGCTGACAGTTGGAGGGTCCAGTCCAACATGGAGCTAGCTACCACAGACTGTAGTGAGGAAGCGGAGATGAACACTGGTGCTCCACTTGCTAACTCCTGCTTGCGTGGGACCCAAGCCCATGGGATGATGGGCAGTTTTGTGAATCTTCTAACTGAAGTCTAACCTCTCCAGAACAACCTCACAGACATGCATACTTGATTGTAAATCCCCAAGATGATACAGAATGAGAAGTTACAGAGGCATTTGAACATGGTGATCTCCTCAGCTGTTCCTTGGCAGTTTCCTCAGGGTCCTGGGCCTAGGAGGAGGGGAACATTTGTAACTACGGTGCCTTATTAGTCATCTCCACCTCTCAGTAGTCTTTTTCAGAAACACAACTTACAGCTACAGTGAAACGAGAGAACTGCTTGTCTCGGGATGGCTAGAGAATCAAGGGAAAGCACAACCCTGGACTCGCACTCTGCAGAGGACCAGATGGAGCTACTGGTCATAAAGGTGGAACAGGAAGAGGCCTCCCCCTTGGCAGAGGAGACCAGTTGGCTGGGCAGCCCTGGGCCCGACCGCTCACGCCAGCGCTTCCGTGCTTTCCGATACCCCGAGGCGGCCGGACCCCGGCAGGCGCTGAGCCGGCTCCGTGAGCTCTGCAGACAGTGGCTGCGGCCTGACATGCACAGCAAGGAGCAGATCCTGGAGCTGCTGGTGCTGGAGCAGTTCCTGACCATCCTGCCAGGGGAGCTGCAGGCCTGGGTGCGGGAGCAGCACCCCGACAGCGGGGAGGAGGTGGTGGCGCTGCTGGAGTACTTGGAGAGGCAGCTGGATGAGACTCCTCCACAGGTAGGAGGAACAGGTTTAGGGTCTGAGAGCTATGCCTTGGGCATAACAAGATCAGTGTGTGAGGTGGGGGCCGTTGCCTAGAGTCCTCAAAGTCCTGGACCCGCTCAGAATAGTTCAGTGCGTAAAGGAAAATACAAGTGTTGCGGAAGAACTCAGTCCCAGTGAAGCTAGACTGTGCTGAGCAGGTGGTGAACGTTTATGTGTGTTAAGACAAGTACGTGTTTGAGCACAGTGGCATTGGCACAAACGACTTTGAAAGTGTTCCGGCTTACCACATGTGACATCTGGCATTACTGTGCTGCTTATGCTCCCTACCCTTTGTAGTTCCCACTGACGGTGGAGGGGAACTCTACAGTTTTCTTAGAATCTGGAAGGTTTTTGTTTTGTTTTCTTCCCTATCCAAATTTATGGATCTTCTGTTGGACCCTCTGGTTGAAAACAGGCCAGGTTTTACCTGCAGTTTCTTCTTTGTATTCCCTAGTGTTTTTTGTGTCAGAGGACTCATGGTCTTCTAACCAGTGACCAAGGTCAAGGTTCTAGACTTGGAGTTATTGCCTGAGTTCTGTAATAGTGAAAAGTCACCATAATTCTCTGTACTTCATTCTGTATAAAAGATGTGTAAATCAAAAGAGAAAGGAACTTGGAAACTGCATTTGATAGCACATGCCACACCCTATTGGGTGTTTTCATGTATCTTACTGCTTTCACCCACTCGGTAGACTAAACTAGAAATACTACCCTTAGTTTTCTGATAAATTCTCATGTGATGGATTTATATCATTTTCCTAAAGCAGTTTACATGTGTATAATGAAAACCATGGAATGAGCTGTGGAAACATCAACCGCATCTTAGCTTTGTCACTTAGTACACTGATTTTGGATAAGCTATCCCCTCACAAAGTAGTTGTTTGTATTAAATGAGTACATTTTTGTGGAATTTGGATACAGTGCCAAACTAAAAGAAAGTAATTTGGAGCTGGGTATGGTGGCACATGCCTGTAATCCCAACAGTCAGGGAAGCAGAGGCAGGAGGATCTCTCTGAGTTTGAGGCCAGCCTGGTCTACAAAGTGAGTCCAGGACAGCCAAGGCTACACAGAGAAACTCTGTCTCAAAAAAAAGGAAGAAAGAAAGAGAGAAAGAGAGAAAGAAAGAAAGAAAGAAAGAAAGAAAGAAAGAAAGAAAGAAAGAAGGAAGGAAGGAAGGAAGGAAGGAAGGAAGGAAGGAAGGAAAGAGTAAGAAAGAAAATGCTTTGGAAATGTCTAACAAATAGATGAAAAATAAAAATAAATGAATGACTTCTAGGTTCCAGATGATGATGATGGGCAGGAACTTCTTTGTTCCAAGGCAGTACTGTTGACATCAGCTCAGGGCTCAGAAAGTAGCCAGATGGAGCCCATGGAGCCTCTATTGAAGCAGGAGTCTTTGGGATCCCTGCCCTCAGAAGTCAGAGGTTAGTATTACGAGGCTGGTTGTTTGTTTGCTTGTTTGTTTCCTTTTGTGGTGGTGCATGTGATGAAATCCAGGACTACACATGCTAATCAAGTGCTTTCCCAGTGAGCCATACTCAGTTCCTTCAAGAGCTTTTGTGTCTTTAGAGAACATCTATGAATCTGATAGCAATCAGGTATTTGGAAAGGAAAACACTTTATAAACTTATATTTGCATAAATGTATTAGTCAAGTTTTTAAACCTGGTTTAAGGCTGTGTGCTAGTATGAGTCTCACCCAGAGTTTCTTTTTGTCATAGTCACCCAGGGGCCCCACTGTGGAGAAGATGGAGTGACAGCTCCCAGGCTCACTTCAGAGTTGCAGGTGAGCTGGGCTGTCTTGCCTCCTCAGCATCCTTTACTCTTAGTGTGCTTCTTCCCCACTCCATCTCTATCCCTATCCCTATCCTCCGTTCTCCGCCCTCTTCCTAGCTGGGGTGTGAATTTCCTCGCCCATGTCCAGCAGGGCTGACTGTTGACCTTCACATAGCATGCTTTTGAGGCTCCACCATTTGGGGTGGGACGGGAGAGGGGCTTCGAGCAAGCAACCAGATATTCCCTGCTCCATCTTCTTGGTGGACTTTCATTTTTTCAGGGGTTGCTGAAAATGGAAGATGTTGCCCCCGTCCTTTCCCCCAGATGGACGGAGCAGGATCCATCTCAGATGAACCTCTACAAGGAAGGACTACAGGAGAACCCTGGCAGCCTGGTTTCCCTGGGTAAGACTGATGGCTGCTAATTTTCTCTCGGGCTTCTTCCTGTCATTTAAATAAAGAACCTGCGTCTCCTGTTAGGCTATTAGAAGCTGTTGAGTCCATAATGTTGGAAATTATATACACTTTAAAAGCCTATTATTGACTAGCTCCTTAATGCTTGTAATCGTGTTCTTTGTCTTCTGTCCTAGTTAGGGTGTCTATTGCTGTGACAAAACACCATATCCAAAGCAGCTTAGGGAAGAAAGGGTTTATTTCAGCTTGCAGTTCCACATCACAGTCTGCCACCGAAGGAAATCAGGACAGGAACTCAAAGCAGGAACCTGGAGGTAGAAACAAAAGCTACAGAGGGTGCTGTTTGCTGGCTTGCTTCTCGTGGCTTATTAAGCCTGCTCTTTGTTGTTGTTTTGTTTTTTATATACTCCAGGAACACCTACTCAGGCCTGGCATTGCCATAATGAGCTAGGCCTTCACACATTAATAATTAATCAAGGAAGCACCCCCACAAACTTGCCTAGAGGAAAGTCGTATAGAGGAATCTTCTCAAGTAAGATCCCATCTTCCCAGATAATGTCTAGTTTGTGTCCCGTTGACAGAAACCAAGTAGCACACCCCTGAGTGTTCTGGTGAACACTCGAATGGAATAAAGGGAATGGGATAAACTAGATAAAATCCCTGTTATTGTTCTGGCTTAGGGGGGATGCTTGGGAAACAGTGAGTACATCTCAGGGCACAGCACAGCTGTTGAGCATGCTTGAGCACATGGCTTCAGTGAACTGCAAAAAAAAAATTTCTTCCCTTTCCTTTCCTGTTCCCATCCATGACAAGTGACTAGCCTCTCCACAAGAAATGGTTTGTGGAGTCACACCAGGTATAGGCCCTGACCCTAGAGGCAAGGACACAGAGGGTTATCAGACTTTTCAGATGTCACACAACTCATTGATGGCATGGTTAGGGCCTCCAGTTTTTGTCTCCAAGAACTGATGCTCTGTTTTGTGTGGCTGCCACTGTCAGGGCACAGTTCACCATAACTGCCTTTGCCTCTGTCCTAGTTAGGTTTCTATTGATGCAGTGAAACACCATGAACAAAAGCAAGTTGGGGAGAAAAGGGTTTATTCAGCTTACACTTCCACATTGCTTTTCATCACCAAAGGAAGTCAGGACAGGAACTCTGGTAAGGCAGCAACCTGGAGACAGGCCATGGAGGGTGCTGCTTTTCTGGCTTGTTTCCCCTAGCTCGCTCAACCTGCATTCTTATAGAACCTAGGGTTATCAACCCAGGGATGGACTCACACGCAATGGCTTGGGCCCTCCCCCATTGATCGCTAATTGAGAAAATGCATTTCAGCTGGATCTCATGGAGACATTTTCTCAATGGAGGCCTCTTCCTCTCTAATGACTTTAGCTTGTGTCAGGTTGTCACAAAACCAACCAGTACAACTGACCCCGTGTCAACTTGACACACAAACACATCACTATTAAGCTACAATCCTTCCTTTATTATTCATCCCCAAGCTTTCACATTAAAATCATGAATAACTTTAAAAGCCCTACAGTCTTTATAAATTCAGACCCATTAAATTAAGTCTGAAGTCTTTCAGCTGTGGGCTCCTGTAGAAACCAAAATTACATTAAATACTTTCTTCAGGAGGAAAAAAAAAAATCAAACACAGTCACAATCTGAACCGGGCAAAACCAAACTCCACCAGTATAAATAATTCAGCGTTCAAGTATCTGGGCTCCTCCAATGTGTTTGTGCCCCCTTCTCCACCTGCACCCTCTGCATCACACACAGCTTATCTGCTAGGCTTCAGCTGGCCCATTCCACTGCGCTGCTGTGGTGGCTAGCCCATGGTACTGCCGTCCCCAAAATGCTAGGGTCTTCTGTTACAGCTGGGCAGCACTTTCACCAAATAGCCTCGCATAGGCTCTCTCTCTTCATGATACCACGCTTCAAATTCTTTGCATGACTCCTTCAATTCCAGGCCTTCAATTGCTATTGAGGCTGCACTTTCACAAAAGACCTCTCCTGTCTTCTCACAGTACCAAGCCTCAGCTGTTCTCCATGACTGTTTCATGCCTTTAAAACCAGCACTGCCCTAGTGACTCTCACACATTCCCAAGTCCGGCTGCCAGCAGGAGGTACAACCTTGGCCACCTCTGGAACACAGCTTCTGAGTGCTGACTCTCTAACTTCCCCAAAGAGTTCACCTCAATCATGAGGTGATTAATCACCACTAATTTCCTAGCTCCAGGTACCTGGCAGCATCAATTGTCCCAGTAATACCAAAGTTTCACTTCAGGGGTGCTGGTCTCTTGTTAATCGTGGCTGACTCTTCAGTCCCAGCTGACTAGAATGACAGAATCTTAATTCAAAATAGAAAATGGCCCATCTCAGTGAGCTCTCAACACTCAGCTTTTCTAACCCAAAGTTCCAAAGTTCTTCCCCAATTCCCAAAAACATGGTCAGTACTGTCATAGCAATACCCCACAATCCAGTGAAACACCATGACCAAAAAGTAAGCGGGGAAGGAAAGGGTTTATTCAGGTTACACTTCTACATTTCTGTTCATCATCAAAGGAAGTCAGGGCAGGAACTCAAACAGGGCAGGAACCTGGAGGCAGAAGCTGATGCGGAAGCCATGGAGGAGTGCTGCTTACTGGCTTGCTTCCTATGGTTTGCTCAGCCTGCTAGACTGCTTTCTTATAGAACTCAAGACCACAAGCCCAGGATATCCCAACCCGAAATGGCCTGGGCCCTCCCCCATTCATCACTAATGGACAAAATGCCTTTCATCTGGATCTCATTGAGGCATTTCCTTAACTGAGTCTCCTTCCTCACTGATGACACAAGTTGACACAAAACCTAGTAGTCACAAACAGGTGTGAATACTATAGAAATCTTCTCACTTGCCCTGTTTTTTGTTCCTTCCTGTGCACAGTCTTCACATCTCTTCTAGTTTGTTTTCTGTTGCTGTAATAAATACTGTATGACCCAAATACTAAGACTCCTTGAGGGAGTAAAGGGTTTATCTTCATACCACAGTCTTTTTGTTGAGGGAAGTCAGAACAGGGACTCAAAAGGAACCTGAGGGCAGGGACTGAAGCAGAGACCATTCAGAAATGCTGCTTGTAGCTGAGCATAGTCACACACCTATAATCCTAGCACTTGGGAGGCAGAGGCAAGCAGATAGCTTTGAGTTCAAGGCCAGCCTGGGCCTGGACAGCCAAGGCTACACAGAGAAACTGTGTCTTGAAAAACCAAAAAAAAATAAATAAAAAGAAAGAAAGAAACAGAGAGAAATGCTGTTAACTGGCTGGCTTCTTTACTTTCTTCTACAATCAGGACTACCACTGACAATGTGCTAGGCTTCCCCACGTCAGTGATTAAACAAGAAAATGCCCCACAGATTTGGCACAGACCGTTCTGTAGTGGTTCCTCAATTGAGATACCCTTATGGTTTGTGTTTAGTTGACAAAAAGTAACCAGCACAAGTTCATTGACCCTTGTCAACTTGACACATAAATACGTCATTATTAAACATAACCATTTTTCTTCTTGAGCCCCAAGATCTTGTGTTAATATTCCACTATAAACAGTATAATTTTATGAATTCTCATAGTCTTTTTAAAAAATCTCAATATTTTAAAATTCAGTCATTTTAAAAATATCCAGTCTCTTTACCTGTTGGTTCCTGTAAAATTAAGAACAAGTTAAATTATTTACTCCAGAAGGAAGCACTGGGGCATAAAAACAATCCCACTTAAAACAAAGGAAAGTCCAGCAGTATAGCTTCAAATCTTGTAGCTCGGTGTCCAAGTCCCATGACTCACTAATGATATTCTGGCCTCTGAAGGGCTTGGTCAGCCACATTTCTCTCCAGCAGGGAAAGTGAAGTATTTAATCTTAGTTATGTGCTGCCTTTATATTATTACAGCTTCCAGGTTCCTATATCACTTACATTGTGTAGCCACAGGAGTCCTTAGTTCCCATCACTTTTCCTCCACGCCCGCTCTTCTTGGTTATGCCCATATTCCATCAGCCCCGTTCCTGTCTTCATGTCTCCCTAGCTTTTCTGTTATCCTCCTTTTTGTTCTACCCTAATTTCTGCATTTCAGTGCTTGACCTTGGTTTACGTATAGACCTTTGGAATTCTTGTCTCCATGCTGTTCATCACAGTGCTCCTATGCAAAGCATAATTAACAGTTGTTGGCATTTGTGTTTCAGATCAGGATATGCAGACTAAGATTAGGGACTTGCCTCCAGCTGAGGAATACACAGAACAAAAGCCTGAGCAGACAGTGTGCTTCCTGGGTGAAGACACTGTCCCCGTTCCTGCAGGTGCAGAAGCCAGTGAGCAGGAAGGCAAGTTACAGACAACGCAGAAGACTGCCACGGGAAATAGGCGGTTTTATTGCCGTGAATGTGGAAAGAGTTTTGCTCAGAGTTCAGGCCTAAGTAAACACAAAAGAATCCACACCGGATTGAAACCCTATGAGTGTGAGGAGTGTGGCAAAGCCTTCATTGGAAGCTCAGCTCTCATCATTCATCAGAGAGTTCACACTGGCGAGAAGCCATATGAGTGTGAAGAATGTGGCAAGGCCTTCAGCCACAGCTCAGATCTCATCAAGCACCAGAGAACCCACACTGGGGAGAAGCCCTACGAGTGTGATGACTGTGGGAAAACCTTCACTCAGAGCTGCAGCCTCCTTGAGCATCACAGAATTCACACTGGAGAGAAGCCATACCAATGCAACATGTGTCCTAAAGCCTTTAGGCGTAGCTCACATCTCCTGCGACATCAGAGGACCCATACCGGGGATAAAGATTATTTTGTCCCAGAACCTTACTGGGAAAGTCAGAGTAGGGTAGAAAGCCATTGGGAAAATATTGAGACTCCTGTGTCTTACCAATGCAATGATTGTGAGAGAAGTTTCAGTAGGATTACAAGCCTTATTGAACACCAAAAAGTACACACTGGTGAGAAACCCTTTGAGTGCCAAACTTGTGGAAAAGGCTTCACCCGACCTTCATACCTTATTCAACATCAGAGAAGACACACAGGAAAGAAAACTTCTGTCACAGTGACCCCTGCTGTACGTTCCGAAGTTGGTGTTCAACTGTCATTGAACTGAAGCTACCTTGGAGCTCTTACTGACTACAGAAGTCATAGGCTGGGGCTCTATTTAATAATATACATTCTCATATATTAGGGACCTGGCTGAGACTCATTATCTTCTACATTCTAGAAGATGACTAGGGAAAAAAAAAAAAACTGATTTCATGGGAGGTTTTGAGAAAGAGTTGTCTGCAAGAGTTCTCACTCATTGGAATCAAATGGGCTTCCTGACTGGCAAATTGCCTTCCCTTGGCCTGCATTCCATGTCTCCTGAGGGAATGGTTATGCTTTGGGGTTGTTACTCTGACACTTATTTAGGCTAATGAGCCCTTCACACATGGTCAGACTTGGAACTCTTATGTCCTGCTTTGTGCCTTGTATACAGGTGCTAATAAACATTTATTAAATATAGTGGTGAGATTTCCTACATAGCTCTGAAAATCCATTATTATCTGGAAATTCTCACCAAGGTAATTTGTATATCTTTTAAAAATGATGTTTTAGATTTAATCACTGTAGTACTGCTTTGGTTTTGGTTTTGGTTTTTGCCAAGTACCCAGACTTGGCAGGGCAGGGGTGAAGGTGAGGTTACTGTTCTAGAATCCTTTAATTCTTTACCTAATTTAGGAATTCTGTGAGAGTGCCTTAAACAGCTTCCTTAGCATTAGGTCATTGTGAATGTGCCACCCATGGAATTCCACTAATATTTTTTTTTCTGTTAATTTTGTTACTCTTGAGAGAAAAAAAAGAAAAAAAAATAGTTTTCCTACTTATGTAGTGTGAAAACCAGTTTCAGAATAAAGTGATCAATGTCTAAGGCTTAGTCTCTTGGTTCTCACTTTGGTGGTTATCTTGGATCTAACCAAGAGCTTCTGCCTCCTCTCTTTTATGTCATTAACCACAGCTCAACTGTACTAAGGCAGTGGGTTATGTTACCAAGAGACAAAAACAAACAACTCAGCTGGCGAAGGTCCATAAGTACCTGTGGTGCAGCCGAGTTGCTCAAGGATCTAGTCTGTGCGGGGCAAGAGTTTACAGGAGCTTCACTACTGGATAAGCAGCAGTTGGTCTCCTGACTTGCTCTGTTCCACCCTCCTTAGTCCAGGGAGAGGGATTTCATAAGCAGTGACAGTGCTGTTGCTGGGTCCTTGTATGACCAGCTTCCCAAGGAAGAACTAACAACAGATGTTTGCCTCTCTCCTACTGTGCTGCTGGGAAATTAACTATATGAGCACTCTGGCTTGGCTCTCAGAGGCAGGAGGCAGGAGGATTTTTGAGTTTGAGGGTCGCCTGAACTACAGAGCAAGTTCCAGGAGATTCAGGGGATACACAGAGAAACCCTGTCTCAAAGAAGAAGAAGAAGAAGAAGACATTTCAGTGGAGTGCTGAAGAGATGGCTCAGGAGTTAAGAGTGCTTTTTCTTGCAGGTAGAACAACAATCCAGGTTGGGTTCTCAGTGCCCACAGTGTCTTGAAGGTATCCATAATCCATTCCAGGGAATCCAACACCCTCTTCTGACCCCTGAAGGTGCCGGGCACACCTGGTGCACAGATATACATTGTGAACAAAACACTCATAAGTAAGTCTGAAAATCTTTGTAGAGTTTCAGGAACGTGATATTTCCCATTCTGTTTTTCTCAAAGATCATTCACCTATTATAAATATAGATTATAAGCTACAAAAACCTAGCCCTGCTAAGTCCACGCTTTGGTAACCCAGTGAATTCATACTAAATATTTAAAATAAAAATTGCTTGCTTTTGGATCCAGAATTCCAGCATGAGTGCAACGGTGTTTGTTAGTTATTTGTTGACTCTGAATCACCAATACCGATCAATTACATGTGGTAAGTACCTTTATGTTCACAATTAGTAACTCCCCTTGAACACTGTGAATCATGGTGGAAATTTCAACTTGTCAATTGAAGTCAGTACTTAGAAAGTATTTATTACATGTATTTCAAATGGAGTCTCTTCTACGAAAGTCTCAGGATGCCTGCCTGCTTTCTTGCAAAACTTTCATTAGGATAAAAATACGCCCATAGCTGTATCTGTCTATATTTCTCAATTGATTTCTGGCATCAGCAGTCTGCCATAGTTATAACAGCAGTGTTGAGATTCTGGAGTTTGGATATAACAAACTTTGTAGCTTGATTTCACAATGATTTTGCTTATGTGATGTATTCTTTTTTTGCCAAATGCATTTTTTTTTTAAAGCTGGGAATCAAGTTATTCTCTAACTTCCTCACAAGCTTATCCAGGCCTCTCTGTTCATGAGTTTCCAAGGTTTTCAGAGACCTACAAACACAGGTTTTAACAAATCCTCATGTAAGTGGTTTGCACTTCAATAATAAACCACAATGTTATTGTGTGAGTTCCTAAGTGTAAAAATACATGGCATGACTTCTAAACTTTTGAACATGTGTGTGCTTGTTGGGGGTGGCATATCTTTAAGGAAGTGGGCAGGGTGATTATGGAGGCTGCTTTCTTTAATCTGGAGACCAAGGGTGTGAGTTTCAGTTCAAAAGCCAAATGGTTCCAGACTCAAGAACTAGGAAAGCTAATGTCCTGCTGATATCACTTTTCTAGGGAGAGTCAGCTCTTTTGTTCTTTCAGGCTTTAACTGATTGGATGAGGGTCAGGGTGGGGAACAGTGTACTTAGTGAATTACAGATTCAAATGCTAATCCCCCAAACCACCTTCACAGCACCCTCAGAGCGATGTCTGCCCAAAGTATGTGGTCAAGAGACAACTGAAATTTAACTCTGACTACTGCTGAGGATTAGCAAGAGTGTTTGAATTTTGCATCATGCTACCGCATTTTTTTGGTGTGTATTTTGTATCCCAGACTAACCTCAACTTCTCATGGTAGCCAGGGATGATCTTAAGATCCAGACCCTCTTGCCTCCACCTCCCTAAGGTGCTGGAATCCTGAGTGTGTATTATCACACCTGGCTTGCTCCTACCCTCCTGCCTGTAGTTCTTTCAGTTGGTGGTTGAGCTCAGCGAGGTTGTTTGTTGCCTCCCTACTCTGCTTCTAGAGCAGAAGAGAAAGGAAGCATTGTGAGGCTTATAAGATAAATGACTGTCCTATCAGAGTCCAGAGTCTACTCAGATTCTAGAAGAGTTCCTGTTGACCTCACAAAATTGACTGTGTCTATTCTCTTTTTTATATAAAATTCCCAGGCACTTAATGCTTAAGACCAAAGTGTTTCTATTCCTGTTTTCAGAAGTGAAAGTTCTCTATTTCCAAACAATTTATATTTTATAAACCATGTTGGGACAGGATAAAAGTAATCAAAGATAGACAAAAGCATGATAACTAAATTCTCTTCCCTCTGTGTTCTTATCCACCTAACAGGAAATTGATTGTATGTATCATAGCTGCCTGGCAACTAGCATTGTCTGCATGTGCCACACAGACTAGGTTTTCACACAAGATGACCTCAGCCCCACAGCCAATTCTGAACATTAGTTGATTTTCTAAGCAACAAGACTACCTTCTACTCAGCTCCCTGCCTACCATGAGGCTTTTGTGAGACACATGAATTTCTCTATTAAGGATTGAGGCTGTCTACCTCCTTTACGATATAATCACAAGCTCACAAAGACTGTTTATCTGCAGTGAGACGAGAGCTTCTCAGCTACAGAGTGGCGTGCACTTGTATGATCTGTTTTGATGCCACACTGCATGTGATGGATGGTCTTGGATGTTGACTGTACAAAGAGATGCCTTTGTACAATGTACCACCAAGGCTACATTGTCATTGCTGCTGCTGCTATCTACTGAGGAAAGAGTACATGCACACCAAAATTGAAATTAAAATGAAGGAGATGCCTGGACCTGTGAAAGGTATCTCTATCTGTGTGTCTATGACAGTGTTTCCAGATTGGAATAACTTCATTAGTTTGTGTTTGGTTGGCTTTTTTTTTTTTTTTTTTTCTGTGATAAAATACCATGACGAAAGGCACCATAAGGAAGAGAGGTGGGGTTTTTTTTTTTTAATTTTATTTTAAAAAAGAGAGTTTTTTCATACAGTATATTCTGTTGATCTCACAAAATTATGGTTTCCCTTCCCCCTGTTCCTTCTAGTTCTTCGCCACCTTCCGTCCCCTCTGGATGCACACTCTTTCTGTCTCTTGTTAAGACAAAATAAACAAAGAAAAAACAAGCATCTAAGGAATAATAATAAAATAAGATAAAGCAGAAACAAACAAATTGAAATATGACCAAACAACCAAACAAGAAAAAGAGCCAAAGAAGAAGCATAAGATATGTACATAGGCAAAAGACACACATGGTTGCACTCTCAAAAATCACATAAAAAAAAATGGAAGCCATAATAATATATGAAAAGGACTTATAAAGTAAGGAAAACAACAAGCAAACCAAACAACAAAAAAAAAAAACCTCCCTGACAGTATTATGAGGCAGAGAAACCTGAAAAGATGCTGTTGAGTTTATTTTGTGTGGGCTGTCCACTGCCAGGCACGCAGACTTCCCTTAAGAGTGACTTATTTCCCCAACGAAACCCTCTTGGAGAAAAACTAATTTTTCATTTGCAAGTGCCTATCAATTGGAGATAGCTTTGGGGCTAGGATTGGGAGCACGTGCCCGCTTCTTTCAGCTCTAGGATCCCATGTGGTGCAGAGCCACGCAGGCCCTGTGCCTGCTGCCTCAGGCTCTGTGAGGTCATATGTGCACCAGCCCTGCGTTGTCGAGAAGGCCTTGTTTTCCTGGTGTCCTCCATCCCCTCTGTGTCTAACTCCCCTTCCATGTGGTTCCCTGATTCCTGAGCAAAGGGCTTTTAAGCCCAAAATAAGTGCTTCCTTCTATAAGTTGTCCTGGCTATGGTGTTTCATGACAGCAATAGAAAAATAACTAGGACAGCCATCAGCTGGGGACCAAGTGTCCAAACACCTGAGCCTCTGGGTGACATTTTTTACTCAAATGATTACAGTGACTTTATCTCGCACTGACATCAAGCTCCAACTTCTTCAACCTTTCAAAGCAGCCTCAATGCCACTGACTCTTAAGCAACTTCCCGGCTGGACTGGAACTACTGAGGCACCCAACTTCCTAGACTGGGAGCTGGTTCTCTGCCCCTCCAGTGTGTAGAGTCACTAGTTCATCCTCCAGCCCCATACTGTGTAAGCCAATCTTTCTGTTTTGTTTTGTTTTTTAATCATTCTTTCCCTTGTTTTTTTTAGTTTGCAGCATGGTCTTTTTTTTTTTTTTTTTTAACAAAGAGAATGATCTATATCTCTTTGTTAATATTTCATGTATATTTCCTGAAAAGTTAATGGCATTTTAATATCATTGACATTTAATATCAGCAATTTAATATCATTGCTGATTTTCTGTCCAGAGGGTCTGTTACTGAGAGTGAAGTATAGAAGTCTGCTGAAATGGAGTACTGAAATCATATCCAAACTACTGTAATAACAAGGATACTCTTTTTTTGTTGTTGTTTTTAAATTTTTTTGTAGCACTTGCAATTGAATCTATGGTATTCTGTATATTAGGTAAGTATTCTACAACTGAGCTACATCTGAAGTCCTAGATACTTTATTTTTTTTAAATCAAGGTGAAAACAAAACCCACCTGTATTCCACAGCGTGAAGCTGGGCGTGGTAGCTACTGCCTGTAATCCTAGCACTCGGGAAGTAAATGCAGGAGGGCTCCGGTTTCAAGGGCACCCTCAGTTACACGCCAGGTTGGCAGCCAGCCCATGACACAGAAGATCTTTCCCAGAAGATGAAAACAAGAGACTGGGCAGAAGGCTCGGTGGGTAAAAAGGACTTGCTGTTCTTGCAGAGGACCCAGGTTTGGTAACTCCAGTTCCAGCCGATCCGGTGTCCTCTTCTGACCTCTGACCAGACACATGGGGGTGCAGACACACACATGCAGACTCGCACACATGTGCCTAAAGTTAAATAAGCACACTTTTTTTAAGAAGACAAAAAAGCTCTCAAGAATTTATCGTAAAAAATGTTTCAACAAAATGTTTGAAACAAAAGTCTTTTGTGGGGGGATGGGGAAGTCCCATTGAGACCTTTTAGAACTGCAATACACAGTAACTGAGGGGGCTAGAGAGAGCTCAGCAGTTGAGTTCCTGCTTTTACAGAGGGCCTGAGTTCAGTTCCCGGTACCCACCGTGAGAGGCTCCCAGTCACCTCGAACTCCAGCTCAAGGGGTCTAACAGCCTCTTCTGGCCTCTATGGGTACCCAAATGCACATGTGCACTTACACACACACACACACACACACACACACTTTAAAAACTTTTTTTCTATTACAATAACAAGAAACTGGAGACATGGCTCAGTGGTTAAAAGCACTTGCTCTTGCAGAAGACCAGGATTTGGATCCCAGCACCCACATGGCAGTTCACAAACTTATAACTCTAGTTCCAGGGGATCAGCTGCTCTTTTCTGGCCGCTACAGGCAGCAGCACACAAATGCTGCACAGACATACGTGTAGGCAAATGCTTCTATGCATAAACCATTTTTAAGTCAACTCTGCCGCAGCATCTAGGAATCACAACACGTGCAGCACTTAGGTGTTCTGAACCGACGACACTGCAGAACGAATGTTGCAAAGACAAAAATCTCATCTCACTCATATTCCTTGGAGTCTCAATCTGCCCACTTCCCTTTAACCTTAAGAATTTTCTTGTTTCTCACAAAGCCTTTAGAGCATCTGCCTGTGCTAGTGTCAGAAACAGAAACATGTCTGTTCCATGCTATGAGGAACTGGCTGTCCATGCAC